AAAAAAAAAAAAAAAAGACATTTGTGTTCTATACTTGATAAATTTGACTTGTACCTTTGCAATATGTTCCATAGGTGTGGTCCCACCATTTACCCTCCCTCCATCAAATCACCCCCCTCCCCTCCCATCTCCCTCCCCTTCTCTCCTTTGTCCTGGGCTATAGTTGTGATTCATCTTTCATATAAAAGTGTGAGTGATTATAAATTGGTTTCATAATAGTACTGAGTACATTGGATATATTTTTTCCATTGCTGAGATACTTTACTAAGAAGAATATTTTCCAGCTTCATCCATGTAAACATAAAAGAGGTCTCTATCTTTTTTAATGCTGCATAGTATTCCATGGTATACATGTACCACAATTTATTAATCCATTCATGGGTCGATGGGCATTTGGGCTGCTTCTATTAGTTGGCAATTATGAATTGAGCTGCAATGAACAATCTGGTGCAAATATCTTTGTTACAACATGATTTTTGGTCTTTTGGATATACACCTAGTAGAGGAATAGTCTCACTATGTCACCCTCAGTAGAGTGCTGTGCCATCACAGCTCACAACAACCTTAAACTCTTTTTTTTTGAGATAGAGTTTCACTTATTAACCCTTGGTAGAGTGCCATGAAGTCACAGCTTATAGAAACCTCCAACTCCTTGGGCTTAGGCGATTCTCTTGCCTTAGCCTCCCGAGTAGCTGGGACTACAGGCACCAGCTACAACGCCCAGCTATTTTTTGTTGCAATTTCACCAGGGCTGGTTTTGAACCCACCACCCTCGGTATATGAGGCCAGCGCCCTACTCCCTGAGCCACAGGTGCCACCCAACCTTAAACTCTTGGACTTATGCAATTCTCTTGCATTAGCCTCCCAAGTAGCTGTGACTACAGGTACCTGCCACAACACCCAGCTATTTTTTGTTGTTGTTGCAGTTGTCATTGTTGTTTTAGCAGGCCCAGGCTAGGTTCGAACCTGCCAGTCCTGGTGTATGTGGCCAGAACCCTAGCCACTGAGCTACGGGTGCTGAGCCAAAGACTCTTGTCTTTAAAAAGAAAAGAAAAGAACAAAGAAGACAAAAACAAAAAAGAATAATGTATTAAAGAATTTCAGAGAAGCAATTAGTGTGTGGGTTCAGCTGAGTATTTTGCAGAGCACACTTTTTTTCTGGAACTAGATATGCAGCCATCATGAAAAGATTGGCCCAAAGACCACAAACTAAGATTTAGCCAACTGGCAAAGTAATGAAAACAGCTTGAAAAGTATAAAAGGTTGGCTCGGCGCCTGTGGCTCAAGCGGCTAAGGCACCAGCCACATACAGCTAAGGTGGCGGGTT